GGGAAATAGAAGACCTTGTGAAGGCAAGGAATACAGGTCACATTAAGAGGAAATACAAATGATTTGAGCCTCAACCTGAATGATAGAAAAATCCCACCCAAAACTATATAGTTCTTTCTGAATCTCATATACACTTGTCAAACAATGGCTGTCCCTCAGTCCCATATTGCTGATCTTAGTGTAGTGAAGGTATTGGTTAGAAGTGTGTGGCCTCTAGAAGAAGAGATAAAAAGATGCTGAGGTCACAGAGCTAAGAATAAAGGCTATTTAAAAAAAAAGTCACTATGTTTATTAATAGTGCCATTAATGAAGGATTAAAGGCCTGCTCTAAGGAGATAGTTAACAGTTTTGATATATAAAAGTGCCATTTTTTTTCAAGACAGGGTTTCTCTGCGTAGCCCTGGCTGTCCTGGAACTCACTTTGTAGACCAGGCTGACCTCAAACTCACAGAGATCTGCCTGCCTCTGCCTCCCGAGTTCTGGGATTAAAGGCGTGCGCCACCACTGCCCAGCTTAAAAGTGCCATTTTAGCCGGGCGGTGGTGGCGCACGCCTTTAATCCCAGCACTCGGGAGGCAGAGGCAGGCGGATCTCTGTGAGTTCGAGGCCAGCCTGGGCTACCAAGTGAAGTTCCAGGAGAGGCGCAAAGCTACACAGAGAAACCCTGTCTCGAAAAACCAAAAAAAAAAAAAAGTGCCATTTTAAAAAGAATTAAGATACAAAATAATGTGGTTCCTTTCACATTTCCATATTATATGTTGAAGGACTACTCCCTTGCCACACTTCTCTGCTTGTATGCTTCTGCCCCCCCCCCCCATTTCCATTTGTATGAGCTTATAACCATCACGACTTCTAGTACACCATGCCCTTTTTCTTGAGACCACTTTTTCCCCTCTCATAGGCCCTTATCTTGTTCCATAACCTATCCTACCTCGAGTAAAAATGGATATGAGGTAAATTGTCTTGTTTTACAGCTTCCGGTAACAGCAAGTGGATGTGACGTATACTAACTTCCGCTTTGGCTCTCAGAAGACAGCAGGGAGCTGAAGGAGTGTATGCGACGCTGCCTTTCAGAGGACTGAGGAATTACAGGCCCAGTGGAGCTTGAAGGTAAGCATATAGGAAAAGTTATAGGTGCATTGGGGTATAAACCTTTCCTCACAAATAGAATGGCCTTCTCTGCTCCTCACCATGCCTCTACTGCTGGCCCTGTAGGGGAAGGCCTGACACAGTGATCTGGTTTATGCCAGCTGCCATTTTGGAATCTGAGTTTTACTCTGGTCCACAGAAGGAGTTCTAGACAATGTTGGTCAGACATCAAAGTGAGGGAATATATTGTAGAGTCTCGGAGACCTTTCCCAGACAGAGCATAGCTTCTCGAACCCCACCTTGTGGTAAGCCCTCAGAAAATGCAGCGTCATGGCGGCTAGACTTCCAACAAATCCAAACCAGAGTCCCACTGCTGAGAAGAGGAAGTAGGCACGAGCTCTTTTTTTTGGTTTTTCGAGACAGGGTTTCTCTGTACTTTTGGTGCCTGTCCTGGATCTGGCTCTACAGACCAGGCTGGCCTCGAACTCACAGATATCCCCCTGTCTCTACCTCCTGAGTGCTGGGATAAAAGTTGTGCGCCACCACTCCTGGCAGCTAACAACTTCTTGCAAATGAAAAATTAATTTCTCCAAGGGGAGTTTCCCTGGATGTTCAAATCACACTTAAGGGCAGACCCCATGCTGCGTGGCTGTAGGTATTCTTTTTCCTCATAATGTTTTATTTGGGCCTTCCCTTATCTCCCCCATCCGTCCCCCCTCCCCATCCAGTGTCTCCCCCCCTCCCCCTCTTATTCCTGTCTCCTTCCCAGGACCATCTTCCCTGCTCCTTACAAAAAACTCAGAGGTGTTGTTAGAGGGTTTTTTCCTAACAATATTTATTTGGGCCTGCCCCTTCTTCCCCATCCTCCCTCATCCCTGTCCCCCATCCCTCCCTCCATCCCCCTCCCCATCCCTTATCCCTGTCTCCTTCCCCCATCCCCCCGTCCCTCCCCCCTCATTGTCTCCTTTCCCTCTACCTACCCCAAATCCTAGTCCCACAGTTCCCTTCTCCCATCCCCCATGTGCCCCCTTCTCCTGTCCCTCCCCTGTCCCCATTCCCTTCCCCCTCCTCCTGTTCCCCCATCCCCCATCCCTTTGTTTAGTCCCCTTACCTTGCCCCTTCATTCCCTGTCAGCTTATTCTGCTGGTCTCTTTCCCAGGGTTTCCGGTCTCTCCCCACACCCCACATCTCCTTCCCTCCCTCCTGTTGCCTCCCCCCTGCCCCCATCCCATCCCCCTCCCTCCAGTCCCCTGTCCTCTTACCCATGTCCCCCATCCATATCCTCCCTTTCCCCCAATCCCCTGTGTCCCCCTTCCTCCTGCCCTCCCTCCTCCCCTGTCCCAATCCACTTCCCCCATCCCCCCTTATCCCTCCCTCTGTCCCTCTCATCCCCCTTCCTCCCATTCTCCTAATTCCCCTCCCTCCCCTTCCTCTCCTCCCCTACTGGTCTTTTCTTTGTATGTTATGGTTTCTGATCTTGAGGTGTTTTTTTTGTTTTGTTTTGTTTTTTTTCTCCCCAAGACTAGGTTTCTCCATGTAGCCCTGGCTGTCCTGGAACTCACTCTGTAGACCAGGCTGACCTCAAACTCAGATAGCTGCCTGCCTGGTTTTTTTTTTTGTTGTTGTTGTTGGTGGTGGTGGTGGTGGTGGTGGGGTTTTTTTTTGTTGGGTTTTTTTTTGGGGGGGGGGGTTGAGACAGGGTTTCTCTGTGTAATTTTGGTGGCTGTCCTGGATCTCGCTCTGTAGACCAGGCTGGCCTCAAACTCAGAGATTCGCCTGGCTCTGCCTCCCAAGTGCTGGGACTAAAGGCATGTGCCACCATTGCCTGGTTGGAGTGCTGATATTAAAGGCATGGGCCACCCCTGCCCCAGCAAGATTTTGAGGTTTTATGGGTTTTGCTTGTGTGTGTGTGCCTGCTGGGTATGTGTGCGTTTCCATGTATATGTGCACGCACACATGCCTGTGTGTCTATACATTTCTCACCATGTTTCTTTTTGTTGTTTGTTCATTTTTGTTTTATCCTTGTTTGTCTTATTTACCTGTTTCTTTTTTTTACATATGCAACAGTAATTTTATTATAAAATATACCTTTGCAACAGTAATTTTATTATAAAATATACCTTTGCAAATAAACAAAATTATAGTAAAATTAGTCAGACTGAAATCTATACATCTCAGTGGATAATAGGCAATCACAAAAGGAAGCTGTGGTGGTTTGAATGTAATTGGGCCCCCTTATTCCAAAGGGAGTGACACTATTGGGAGGTCTGGCCTTGTTGGAAGAAGTATGTAACTGTAGGGGCAGGCTTTGAGGTCTCTTTTGCTCAGTGTGACAGACAGACCACTTCCTGTTGCCTGTAAGATGTAGGACTCTCAGCTGATTCTTCAGCACCATATATGCTTGCATATCCCGCCATGTCCCACCATGTCCCACCATGATGATAATGGACTAAACCTCTGAACTCTAAGCAAGCCCCAATTAAATTATTTTCCTTTATAAGAGTTGCCCTGGTCATGGTGTCTCTTCACAGCATTAAATCCCAAACTAAGACAGAAGCTGTAGAACTTTACATTAAATTTTATACTTTCATTATTAAATATCCACTTACCCACCACAAATACCAAAAATTCCATGCCAAAATTTGAACTAGAAATACAATTAGCTTTATAACCACTTTCATATCTCATTGCCCATTTCCTGCATTCAGTCCTTTCTCCTGCCTTTATCTTAAGCCTTCTCTTTTCTCATGTTATACAGTATCCACATATACATTTGTTAAACACACACACCTTTTTTTTGAGAAAGAGAGAAGAAAGCTTGGAATTAGAAGGTAGGATCTAGGAAGAGATGAGAGAGGGGAAACCATGATCAGAATATATTCTCTGAAAATAACTATTTTTAATAAAAAATAAAAATAGAAAACTACTCTTCTACTATTAGCCCAAGAAGGCCCCAGACAGGCATGTCTGTATGAGACTCCCCTCATTTCCAGGTAGTCTGGCATTTCACAAAGGTGGGCTTGTTTATATGTTGAGTAATTTGTTTTAGGTTTGTGTTTGTTTTTTGTTTTTTGTTTTTTTACTTGGGTGGAATCTGAGATGGTGAAATTCAGGTTGCCAGAGAGAAGGGCTCTGAGGGAGGACTAATGGACCTCCAATTCCAGTACATACTAGATTGTGTTGCCACTGCCAAGGTCTAAAGGATACTGAGCAGGGGTGGCTAAATGGGTCACCTTTTTACTTTTGTCTTACTGGTCTTGGGGAGGGGAGGCATTGTCCTAAGTGAACAGAGTTGGCTGTGTCTGGTCAACCAAGGAAGGAGACAAGTTCTGTTAGCATCTTGTGTGTGGACCCTGAATGAAGATGGCGGGGATCACTGTGTCCTTAGAGATTTGGTGTCCCTGCCCTGAGAGACCCTCCTTTGTGGTGTACTGAGTTATTGTGCGAGTATCCCCCCTGCAGTGTCAAGGGACTAGAATCAGTTTATCAGAGAGAGGTGTCTCAGGCCTTGCCAGAGTCAATTAGAGGATGGAAAGAAGACCCCTTTCACAGGAACAGATGAACCTAGTCCCTAATTACTGCTATTAAGAGGGCCTATCCATTCTATAACTGTGTGGACCTAACAAAGTCTACTTCTATACAGCAGTTAGCACTAGGAATAGGACCCAAGTCTGTGCTTGTGGTCTGTGACTTGAGCCCCTCCCCTGAATTGCTCCTATGGAGGCTCCAGGAACAAATGACATAGTTATTAAACTGAGTTCTATCCAGAGACCATAGAGTAGAAAAGAGTTCGTAGGAGGCAGGCTCATGAGACCCAAAAGAACTACCTAAGATAAATATTGAAAAGTCTTTGTCACTACTGACAGGTTACAAAATCCTCACATTCTTTCTCTCACCCCCAGGCCACTCGCTGTCAACTTCCTCCTGCCAGTTACCTACAAAACACGTTATAATGTCCCACAGGCAGAAGCATGAGCAAGGCCTTGAGGCCCAAGAAGAGGAGGGCCAGCTCAGGGAGGAGGTGCCTGTAGCTAAGGAGGTGGGAGCCCCAGATGAGGTACCTGCTGCTGAGGTTTCCCAGGAAACCTGTTCATCCTCTGCTCCCATCCAAGCCACTCTGCCAAGCAAAGCAAATGAAGGTTCTGGCGCTCAAGCAGAGGGAGGTCAAAGCACCTCAAAGGCCTACCTATACTCCAAGGTCTTGCTCAACACTAAGCTACGGAAGAAGGTGACAGAGTTGGTGAAGTTTCTGAGTTTCAAGTATACAACAAAGGAGCCTGTCACAGAAGCAGAAATTCTGAAGAATGTTGTCAAAGAGTACAAGAACTACTATGCATTGATCTTCAAGCATGCCTGTGAATGCATGGAAGTGGTTTTTGGCATTGAAGTAAAGGAAGTGGATGCTCTCAACCACTCCTACGAGCTCCTTAAAATTCTTGACCTCACCTACGATGGGCGAATGAGCGATGACGAGGGCATACCCAAGACAGGCCTCCTGGTGCTTATTCTTGGTGTGATCTTCATGGAGGGCAACCGGGCCTCTGAGAAGAAGATCTGGGAGGTGCTGAATGTGGTTGGTGTGTACCCTGACCAGCATGATTTCATCTGCGGAAATCCCAGAAAGTTCATCACTGAAGATTTGGTTTCAGAGAAGTACCTGGAATACCAGCTGGTACCTGGCAGTGATCCTGTATGCTATGAGTTCCTCTGGGGCCCAAGGGCCCATGCTGAAACCAGCAAGATGAAAGTCCTGCAGTTTTTCTCCAAGGTTGCTGGGAGTAGCCCCACTTCCTTCACAGCTTTGTATAAGGATGCTCTGAAAGATGAAGAGGAGAGAGCCCGGGCTTTACTTGCCTCCGTAGCCGTTCCAACTACCCCAGACAATTCAGGTTCTGGGGACAAGCCCAGCAGCTTCTCCTGCCCTGAGTAAATTCAGGCTGGTTCTTCACACTATTTAAAGATAGCAATCACATCTTCAAGCAGAAGAGACTTAAGGTTCTTTTTCCTTTTTGTACTGTTTCATCTGTTTCTCTTTTAAAGGGTTTATTAGCTTCAGAGTCTAGATGTATTAGTTGTATTGCTCATTTGTTGCTATTTGTTTCAGAATAAGAATTTTGATGTTGTGAAAAGGAAGTTGAGAACATACTTAGCTTTGAGACCTAGCGGAAGATCAAATAGCATTGCATCTGAATTTTTCTTAGACATGTGAAAGACTCCATTACTAAAGTAGAATTAATAAGTACAAGAAAGATGTAAAAAATGGTTAATACTAGTATTCCTGTGTCCTTTTAGTCTGTTTTGTAAAACTAAAGATATGAACCTTGTTTACTTGGTTTAGTCAAGAATACATGAGAAATTAAAACTTAATTAAGTGTACTGCCTCTTTTTCCCAGCAAACAGTCTATTCTTTGGAAGGCATTTTGATATCAGTGGAAGTTCAAAGATGAGTGAAGAAGATGGTGAAATAATGTGAAAAACAAAGAATTAAGTTAAAGGCTAAGGAAGTGTGATTACAAATGACAGCCAACAAGTCTAATCTGAGCCAAGGCATTTTGGGGCTTTGGGAAACCACAGATCCTTCTGTGGATGCTAACTCTCTGTTAAGGTAGATGGTGGTGGGAACTAGATTCTCAGACAATGTGTCTGATACATGAGAGAAAAACTTGGAATGGAAAAATGCTCAGAGAACTTCTTTTTGAACCATGGGTAAACAAGAAATGAATGTCCACTGGGGGCAGGGGCAGTTACAGAAGGTGACTTGAACTCTTGCCCAGTGTAATTAAACATAATATATTACCTAAGTTTTGTGTACAAAGCACATGCAAGCATTTCTGGGAAATCTAATAATACTGCCTTGATGTGGGAGATAGAATTATCTAGGTTGCAGTCTTTCCCCTAGTCTAGGAGAAGCTAATCTACCATAAGGTCATTTATTTTTTTTTAACTTCCTTTTTATGTATTCCTCGTATCTTTCACATCATGCATCTCAATCCCATTCATTTCCCATCCCTGTGTATCTGCCCTCTGCCCTTGCAACTTCCCCCCAACCAAAAAAAAAATTAAGAGAAGGAAAAATGGAAGCTGTGGCATGACATAGTCATGCAGTAAACCCTTTTATCCATATATCTTTACTTGCAAGTTTTCATTGCAAAGAGTCATTGGTCTGGGTCTAGGCCTCTGGTTTCTGCTACACTATGGATGCTGGGCCTTCATTGGGACTCCTCTTTGATATCCTGTTGTTGTCCTGCATCATGGGTCTGCAGGACTGGCTCCTTGTTGTGCTCCAGCAGATCATAGATAGGGGATATTAGGGTGGGCTAACTCATAACTCTGGGCCTGGGCCTAGGATTTGCAGGGTTGGTCAGCCTGCCAGCTCTCCCCTGTCTTCACCACCAGGGTGAGCTCTCCAGTGTAGATGTATCCAACCTTCTTATTAAACAAGAAACACAGAACCAATGCAAAGAAGAAAGCCAAGAGGTCAGAGCTAAGAGCTAAAACCTTACCCTTCCTCCTGCGGTGGTCCTACCTCTCCGAACCAGAGCTACCCCTGTGTTAAAGTCTTTATATAGAGTTCCTGTCCTGCCTTCTCATTGGTTGTAAACCCAACCACATGACCGCCTCCTCACAGCCTGTCTGTATAGGCCTCCAGGTTTTCCATGATTGGTATTAAGATTAAAGGCATGTGTATCCAATAATGGCTGTATCCCTGAACACACAGAGACTTACCCAGCTCTGCCTACCAAGTGCTGGAATTACAAGCATACGCTACCACTGCCCTGCTTTCCTATGGCTTGCTAATAGCTCTGACCCCCGGGCAACTTTATTTATTAACATACAAATAACATTTTAATACAAATAAAATATCACCATACTCCAGCATTGCCCTTGCTAGTTCACCCCTTGCAGCATGAAGGGGTGGGGTTATTTCTCCTTTCACATCCTCAGGGTAGGCTCTCCCACACTCTACCTTCAGAGCCATCTTTACTGTGTTGCCCAGGCGAGGTGTAAGGGCCACTCTCCCAAGTGCTGCAGCTCTCCCACTCTAATGACCCCAAGGCCAGCTCTCACACCTGCCACAGGTGGCTGGGGTATAGGGGGAGAGGGCATCTCTCCTCTGCCTGCATCACCATATGACAGAAGACCAGGACAAGATCTCCCATGCTCATGTTTTCTGGGCAGTTCACACACAACCCAGTCAATAGGGTCATCTCTATGGTGCTGCCCAGGTGAGATACAGGGTCTACCTCTGGAGTGCTGCAGCAGGTGGTGGCAGGGGCGGGGGGGGGGGTAACTTTCCCTTACCACATGGCAGACGGGGGGGTGGGGGGTGGCCAGCTATCCCACTTTCACACCCACAGGGCCAGCTTACCCGCACCTCTGCCAATAGGGTCAGCTCTACTGTGCTGCCCAGACAAGGAGCAGGACCTGCTTTCCAGAGTGCTGCAGCTGGTAAGGTAGAGGGTCAGCTCCCTCATCTGTTGCACTAGGTGAGGGGCAAGGGATGGGGGGGGGAGCATCTCTCCCCACCCATACTGCTGCATGACGGATGAGTAGTGGAGACAGCTTTCCCATGCTCACAGCTTTGGGGCTAGCTCACCCACACAAAGTTAGCTCTGTTGTGCTGCCCAGGCAAGGTACAGGGCCTCTCTGAGTGCTGCAGCTGGTGTGGGGCAGGGGCAGCTCTTCCACTTTTATGACTGTAAGGTCGTTTATAATTAGATGATCTTGACTTTTGTTTGGTCAATTTTAAGCAAGGGTTAGAAAATTAGTTGCAGCTAAATGAATGAAAAATTTAGATAAAAGAGAAACTATAAAGGACAAAAGTCCTGTGAACTGCATACAACTTGGGAAAATTCCCTCATAAATAGGTTTAAATAATATGTATATTATTAATAGGGAAAATTTACCAAGTTTTGTTTGCAAAATCACAAACTATTGACATTTGTTAAAAATACAATATACACCACACAAATATGCCTAGTACTTTGTATGTATTCCATGCATACCCCAAATCCTTGGCTTAAAATCTTTTCTTTCTTTTTTTTTTTCCTGAGACAGGGTTTCTCTGTGTTGTTTTGGTGCCTTTCCTGGATCTTGCTCTGTAGACCAGGCTGGCCTCGGACTCATAAAGATCCACCTGCCTCTGCCTCCCGAGTGCTGGGATTAAAGGCATGCACGCCACCACCACCACCTGGCTTAAAATACTTTACAGAGAACTCTGAGACTAATTGCACCTGGCAGTTTGCGCAAGATCACATGCTAGGAAATGGCAAGTCTGAGAATTGATTCCTGGTCTGAGTTCACCAAGGCCTATACTGTTCCTCTTCTCAGTTCATTCTGCATTTTCAGTAATGTTTCTGGCAAAATAAAACAGAACCTTTAAGCAAAAGTACTGAAAACAGAATTGAATAAGGAAGTTGACATAAAAAAAAAAAATCTGACATTAACTGCTGAGATTTACTGGGGTCTCCTAACCTGGGCCCCAGAATTCAAAAGATCTACCCCATGCAGGTCCTACCATTTTGTTTCACCCAAGCACTTTGTCACATTACAGCACCCTTCCCCTGGTAAGCCCCTGTCCCTTAGGTCTAACTTTGGAAACTGGCGTGCTAAAACTAACATAACCTCTTTTGAAGGCTATATCCTGCTTCCAATGGAACAACCCCATATTAACTCCCTGAAATAGAGCAGTCTGACTCCCCACAGAAGGGTTCTGGATGTCCTGTAGCTAGAGTTTTCCTGCCTGGCCCACAGTTAGGACAAATCTCTCTCACCCGCCAGTCCCAAGCCGCTCAAACCCAATCAAGTAAACATAGAGACTTATATTGGTTACAAACTGTATGGCCGTGGCAGACTTCTTGCTAACTGTTCTTACAGCTTAAATTAATCCATTTTTATTAATCTATACCTTGCCACGTGGCTTGTGGCTTACCGGCATCTTCACATGCGGCTTGTCATCATGGCAGCTGGCAGTGTCTCTCTGCCTCAGCCTTTCACTTTTCAGCTCTATTCTCCTCCTTGTCCCGCCTATACTTCCTGCCTGGCCACGGGCCAATCAGTGATTTATTTATTGACCAATCAGCAACACATTTGACATACAGACCATCCCACAGCACTTCCCCTTTTCTTTTCTTAAAAAGGAAGGTTTTAACCTTTACACATCTCCAAAGTCAGCTTGGTATATTTGGGAATTTGGGCGTAGCTTCTCTTACTACTTCCTGCTGGAGGGGGGCGCTGTATCTTATGGGGACACAAAGAATATTTTAGGATTATGGAGTAGTCCATGAGGCTGTATCGTCTGAGCCAGTTGCCTTGAAACAGTTCTGGATGTTGGATCATCTGGGCCATGGTGTCATTGGAGACCTTTCAGGGGGTCTTGGCTGGTCAAACCTGATGTATCTTAATCTGGAACAAATCCATAGCCTCTGGCTTTCTGTGGATACAAAAGCAAAGCCTCCTTTCCAAAGCAACATATCTTTACATCCAAATTTTGAAGTCAAGGTACCTTTAAAATATGCATATTGGTTTAACTCAGCTTTCTTTACAATCAAATATCTCTCTGTAGTTAAGAATCCCAAAGATAACACAATCCAGATTTTTTGTGTGATATCCATCTTTACGGGGCTTATTTTTTATATTAATTTTACTATCTCTTTAAAGACTTTATTTTTTAAAACTATGTATTTGTTTTTGTAACTGTATATATTACCTTTTTAATCTCTTTTAAGCCTACGTATATTTCACACATATTTTAAACTATTACATCCGAATCTGTCTTATTGTGAATCTATTGCCTTAAACTGCAGCAGCTGTGGCTGCTGGCTCCGCCCACCTCAACTTTCCAACATGGCGGTATGCTTACCACCAGCTCTGGGAGCCATCGTGGGTCTATGCTTTTATCCAAGCAGCATGTAGCCCAGAAACCTCTTTTTTTTGTTTTGTACTAGCAAAGGCTAAATCCACCACACAGCTTAATGTGCCACTTGCAGAGGCCTCATTCCCGCCATACTGCAGGTCGAGCGCGCATGCCAGGAACCCGCCATAGTAGCTCAAACACGCAGGCTGCTGCTAGCTTAAAAGAGACAACTAGGAGCTGTTTTTAGCTCCGTTTTAGAATCTTTTTACTCAGGTTTTAGGTGGAAACTCTTGCCCCACGTTGGGCGCCATTTGTAGCTAGAGTTTTCCTGCCTGGCCCACAGTTAGGACAAATCTCTCTCACCCGCCAGTCCCAAGCCGCTCAAACCCAATCAAGTAAACATAGA